TCTGACTGTTGAACATCCAGCTCACAAATTAAGGCTTAAAAGTATGAAGGGGAGTGACACAGGCCTGATGTAGCAAAGGACACCCTGACAAACAAGCTCTCTGGCTCCAGGGATGTGGAAGGACTGGGGCCAAGGCAAGTCCAGGGAAGGCTGGTGGGGTAGAGGATCCTCTGGAGCAGATAAGTTAACCAGACTTTCTTGTCCCCAGCCACTCTGTGTGGTCAGCTTGCAGCCCAAGGGCACTAGGCCAGCAGCATTCTGGCCTAAGTACCTGGCTCCTTGCATGCTCTCCTTGCCAAGGTCAAAACTGGCCTGCCCCCAGCATGACCATTCTTACTGCCTTTCCCCTTCCAGGCCTCTTTCCTCCCATAAGAGTAGAGATGCTTCTTTGGTTCCAGCTGAAACAACAAAAGGTCACTGGAGATTCTGCCTATTCCAAAATTCCTGAAGAGGCTGCCAGCAATGAGTCAGAGCATCAGCAGCCCAGCTCACCAAGGACCAGCCTGGCCTGGCCAGATGCTTCTTGAGTCTGAGTTGGGGTGGGAGCAGAGGAAACAACCAAAAGCCCTGGGGAGCTCTTACCCCCAAGTGCAGTGGCTCAGCCTTGTGGCCAGCCCTATGGGGGCAGTGCTTCTGAGGTGCATGGTGCAATGGGTCTTGCTGGGAGACAGTTCAGTTAATGTGTCCCAGTTCCTATGCAGCACCAAGCCACAGTCCTGCCTTCATGGAGCTCAGCCTTGGAGGCTCCTGAGGACTTCAGTTCTTTCTTTGTTTCACAGAGGATATGAGTCCAGGCTGGTGTTCAGAGAAGGAAGCATGGTCTCATTTTCATGGGGGCTACTTGGTTCTAATCCCTGCAGTCTGTGGGTTCCAGGCAGATTCTGAGAATCTGTCTCCAGGACCTATGGGGATGAACTAGGCCTGTCCTAGCTCACACATCCAGTGTTCACACATTCAGAGGATCACAGCAGCCGGCTACTGGGGAGGGAGCAGCAGTGCCTACAGCATGTGAGTCTGGAATGTAACCCTCAGCAAGAGGATCTGTCCCATCATCTCACATATTGGGGAGCAATTGGTAGCCTGATGTCATGGAGAGAGTGGAGAATTCTGTCAGAAATATCTGGGTTATAGTCCCAGCTTTGTGCTTGTCTTGCTAAGTGACCTGAAACAAGTGTTCACCCCTTGTACTTTAGTGTCCTCATCAGTGACGTGGGAAGGCAACATCTGTCCCACCATGAGGAGAAGCAGGGTATGGCCAAGAATTTGTGATATAGTATGGACAAGAAGCACTCTGAAACCTGAAATTTCATGTCCATGCAAAATGTATTATGTGGCACAGTTTGTATCCTCTGGGAAGATTTTGAGACATGAGTGTCAGGATGTTTTTAAGAAGGTGGGGAAGGAAGCAACATGAGACAGAGAGAGAAGCTCAGTTATGATGTGGGCCCTAGCATCTTGGCCCCCATTGGGAGCTCTGTCCTGCACCGGACTGAAATGGTTGGGCCTTAGTATTCACTTATCACTGAGTAAGGGTAGCTTCTGGCCAGGTAGGACCATGGGCAAGGTGGATCTCTATAGCTGAGCCTCTACATGATGTGCTGGTAACCTCGCAGTGAGCTGGGGTAACAGTTCTTTCCTTGAAGGAGTATCTGGGTGTTGTATCTCCATGACCATGTCTTTATTGTTAATTATGTGGTTATACCTAAATATCAGACTGTGTTCATCAAAGGCAGGAGTAATAATATAGTTCCTGCCATTCTGGTTCTATTGAGTTCTAGATGAATGACTTCAGTCTTTATTTCTGATAAAAGAATGGAAAAACTCTCTTTCTGTGAGGCCCAGAAAACTATTCAATTTGGCTTTGCCTGGGAGTTCATAGGTAGGACATAAAAACCAACAAATTTAAACAAATGAATTGATTTCATTTAAAAAAAATCTCCCTATGTGTGCATGTTGGTGTGCACAGGTGAATATATACATACATCTGAGCATGAGAGCACATGGGGGTGCATTTATACATGAGTATATGTATGATAACTGGGATAAGAGAGAAGCTGTGGGGCTGGTGTCCAGTGCAGACATGCCCACATGAATGAGTAGGTGAAATTATGAGAATGTGCATTTGTATGTGGAAACATCATTCACTCACTCTTTTAACATTTAGTAACATCTATAATTTGCCAGGCTTTGTGCCGGGAGCTGGGAAACAAGAAGAGATAGGATCTGGTTGCTACCACAGGAAGTTTATCATCTTGTAGGGGAAACAATACAATATAGGCATCCCAGGTACAGTGAGGGAAGAGATTGTACAGAGGGATCACCTGAGTGGGCCCCCAAATCAGACTGAAACATCCATTGCCAAAAAAAAAAATGGTCTTTCACAACCATAATAACCTCTTGGATTTTCCAAATATAAGAAGTATTCCAATCAAGGAATCAGGACTATTCCTTCTCTGGACTTGGATGGAATATGTGCTGCTGGAAGGATAAGCCTGAGAGACCCTGGCTCCAGGGACATAGAGCACTTCTAAAGCCAATGTGAAGCACCTTCTGTTTCAGAGGAACAGAAGCAAGAGACCTGGAGCTGTGTCTTGAAGGGTAAAGGTATTACTAAGGCAAAGATGATGGGAAAGGGTGAGCCGGACTTTCACATGGCAGAGAGAAATGACTGGTAAGGAGATTATAGGAGTGAAAATGGAGAGTCAGAGGACAGAGGAGAGACCTCAAAGCCATAGACTTGAGTGAAGGAGTGTGAACTTTCACACAAACAAGGGGTAGCAGAGTAGTGTTTCCATCTTAGGGTTACATTCTGGTAGTAGTGTGGGGGCAGATGGAAGCTGATGGATGGCAGGGCCGGCTGGGTATGTTCCTGTACACGTTTATGAGGATGTATACACACAGGGCTGTGTGTCTGTCCATCTGGAGTCTGTGCACCAGGTGTGCCGCCCACATGGACTTGTTTTCTACTCCTCCCCTCTGGCTTTGGCAGCACAAAGGCACGGGATGGCTATCCTGCTGCTGACTCATGGGTGAGTGCCATGATGGGGCTAGCTGGCAGGTGCTTCCTCCAGGGCCACAGGCACACCCCTTCCCCTGGACTGACAGTGAAGGTCCTGGCAGGCAGTGACAGGATGGCCAGACTGGACTCTCCTGTCTGTGTGATGGCTTGTCTAGGAGAGGCTGGGCTTGCTTTGTCCCAGGCTCAGCCATAAGGTGAGGGGCAGACAGAATGGAGAGGCTGTGAGGACAGGGGCTTAGCTATGGCCCAGCTTTGCCTTTCTGGGTCTCCCTGTCTCTGTACGCTCACTTCTCAGGCACTGAAGTCAAGTATTTGAACTTAATTATCTAACAATGTACTATAACTATGCTATCCTACCTCTTGAAAATTCACGACAAATCTAAAAAAAAAACCAAAAAACCCCAAATCAAAAAACTAATTTATCACATTTCTTACACCTCACATGTGGACCACAAGGTTTTTGGTTTTGTAAGATGAGTATAACCTCTAGAATGGCATAGTAAGTAGTTAGGAACTTGGAATTTAGATTCCAAAAGAATGGGTTCAAACTTCAATTGTACACTCAATGGCTAAGTTACCATCCTCTCTGTGCCTCAGTTTCTTCATTCACAAGACACAGATGCTAAAACCTCATAGGATTAAATGTATAAAGTTCCTAAAACAGTGCTTGATGTATCATGAATCTTCAACTATAAACCTTAACTAGTTTTACTAGCTCATCTCGGCTGTTCCCTCAGGTCTAGGGAGTTAGGGAATTCGATTGATGAAAAGTTGAGACCTCTTTGGGACTCTAGAGGAAACGTGTTTAATGAGATGTTGACCCAGGGATCAAGACTTGTTCCCACCAACTCATTCTTTTTATTTGATGTGGGTCTTTGGTTTTAACAGGTTTTGGTTGTCAGACTTCATTTGTTAAATAACAACCTATGTGGACCCATCAAGTGTTCTCTTGGACCTTACAAAATGCTAGGAATGGTTCCCAGTGCTCCTCACTGGGAACTTCTGGATTGGATGAGATAATCCTTGGGAGGCCACCCTTCCTGTTCCAGCTTCAGATACTGGCACCTCCACAGCAAAAGCAAGTGCCTTCAAGTATTTCTGGGCCTTATAATAGGTGGCCAAGTGGACCCTAAAACAGAAGGTGCTTCACATTGGCTTTAGAAGTGCTCTAGGTCCCTGGTGCCAGGGTCTCTCAGGCTTATCCTTTCAGCAGCACATATTCCAGCCAAGTTCAGGGGAGGAATAGTCCCGACTCCTTGATTGGAATACTCCTTGTATTTGGAAAATCCAAGAGGTTATTATGGTTGTGAAAGACCATTTTTTTGGGGGGGGCAATGGATGCTTTGGTCTGATGGAGTCCTAGGTACTAGTGCGTTCTATATATCAGCTCTTTAAATTTTCACAAAACTCTCCTGAGGTGACTGTTGTCATCTCTATAGATTAGAGAATAAAATTAGTCAGAGAAGGGATTTATTCAGGGGCTGGGGATATGGCTCAAGCGGTAGCACGCTCGCCTGGAATGCGTGTGGCCCGGGTTTGAGCCTCAGCACCACATGCAAACAAAGATGTTGAGTCCGCCGAGAACTAAAAAATAAATATTAAAAAATTCTCTCTGTCTCTGTCTCTGTCTCTCTCTTTAAAAAATAAAAAAGAAGGGATTTATTCAAGTACTAGTAAATGGCAGCATTGTTTTTAATTTCTTACATTCATTAAATCACATCATTCTTACCTCTGAAGTAGTAATGATCTGCATTTTGTAGATAAGCAAACTGAAGCTTAGCAAAATTAAGAGACTTGTTCAAGGTCATAGAGCTAAGAGTTAGCCAAGTGGGAGTTGAATCCAAGTCTAATGTTCTGTCTTCGACAGCTGCTTGGAATGAACCAGCTATGAGGTGACACCTCTGCCCTGCTTTGGCATCCAGGTGAACCTTGTGGAAAGGCAGGTTTTAGTCCCCAGTGGTTTTGTAGGGTGGAAGCCTACCTTGGATGTCATCATTGAACATGCAATACTTGTTGCGGTATTTGTTGAGCAGGCGGAAGGCATTGGCATTGGCAAAGTCTTCAAATTGAATGAGGCAATTTATTCCAAACCTGTGGAGAGAGAGGAAGGAGCACATGACTGACTCCCTAAGACAAATCCCTGAATGTCACAGCCTGCATGGGAGAGTGGGTAGGCTCAAACAGGAGGTGGAGAGAAACATGGCTCCTTCATCTGGGTTTTTTGCCATCTGGCTGGATCTGGAACTCCTGGGCTTGGAGTTCTGCCTGTCCCATCATATGGATAGGGAAAGGAGAGAGTAGGGGCACCTGGCTTAGTTGTCAGCCAGGTGCCCCTACTCACTGTATCTAAGGTGGACTGGTGGCTCCCTTGGGCTTCCATGGCAGACAGTGGGCATGCCAGGAGGGCTGAGATGGAGCTGCCTTGTCTGTAGCCTTTTGCCATCTGGTATCTCAGCAGAAAAGCTCACCCACTCCAAGCTCAAATGCATAAAGAGAGCCAGGCTTCCCCACCAGAGATGGTTGGGGAGCTTCTGCAGCCTCTAAATATCTCCCTCTCCAGACCTGGAGGCCAGGAGCTCCATCACTGGAGACTCCTCAAAGTTCAGTCATTGGTCCCTGACATGATGCAAGGAAGGCTGGGAAAGGCCAGCATGTGAAACCTTTGTCATCTATTTACATCTTGGTGATGTTGTTCTCCAATTTGCAGAAGTAGAAGAGAATCAGGTAGGGAGTGCGTTTAAAATGAAGATCTCTAGGCCCATCTCACAGCCTCACAAAAGGTGGATGAGGCTCAGGAATCTGCATTTTAACCAGCAGTCCAGATTGTTCTAATTCTGCTGTCTAGAGAACTTTGAGAAACACTGCCTTGGTGGATGAAAACAATGCCCAATAAGCTGCTTCATGGGCCTTATTGGAAATCTGTGAGGCATTGCTGCCTAGATTTTCCCATCTTCCTTAAAAAGGGGAAGGGGGGCTTGGTTAATTAGAGTTTCATAACCTATTTTTCCTTTTAATATTTGTTGTCTGTCAGGAAGCTGAGAGCAAAATTCCTGTCTATTTACAATAGGCATCTTTAGTCTGAGATTTCTACCCACAGATTTCCCTCTTACTTCATGCTTGCTCTTTGATTCTGATATTTGGTAATTTTATTGGTGTCTTAGTCTTTATGGAATCAGGCATGTATGAATTCTTAAAAATTCTTAACACATGGACAAAAAATAATTTTCATCTCATGGGTCAATTTGTGATCGAGTAATGGTACCTGAGATCATGTTCATTGACAAAAAAGTCCTGATTGATCCGCATGAAATTCAGGAATGTCAGGACATGTGGTAGGGAGAAGTGGCTTGCTATTTCCAACCTAGTGTGAACCACAGGCTTGAGGCCCTTTTGAGATGAAGAGGTGTGGGTGGGCCACCTATCTGGCGGGCTTTCTATGCTCTTGAGGCATCTTTCTGGTGAGGTTAGTGCCTGTGGGGGAGTGGATTGTACTGAAAGACCCAGAAAGCAGTTTTTCCAGCCTCATAATTTTCGGCACAACCTACCCTGTCCAGCACAAATGTCAGTGAGTGGGTAAATATTTGCTTCTGCTATGTTTTTTTTCAGATCCTTAGCTGGTCAGAGCTGCTGATGGGGGCACTGGAAATGGGGTCATGTTACAGGGGCGGAAACAAAGGGGGTGGTGACTTGCTGTAATCTAGTGCTAAAGATTTCCAGGCTTGGATCAGGAGGCTTGAAGGCCTGACAACTGAGTGGCCTTGTACCTGTCACGTCACCCTCATTCTGCTTCAGTTTCTCATTTGTCAGTGGGCACAATATCTGCCTGACCATTTTCTGAGGTCTGATTGAGGACTAAAAGCGGAGGATATGTTTTTTTCAGCTTACTGATGTATAACTGATAAATAAAAATGATATATGACATGATGATTTGATGTATGTATACATTGTGCAATTATCATCACAGTCAAGTTAGTTAACACCTCACATGGTTATCTTTTTAATTTTTTTTTTTTGTGGTGAGAAAGCTTAAGGTTCCCTTTCTTAGCACATTTCAAGTATACAGTATAACACTATTAGCTATATATAGTCTGAGGCTGATTTTAGACTGAAATCATTCTAGCCATAATTATTATCTACAATGAAGAATAAGTGCTCATGAGGTTTGTGGTAGGATGGTAGGGTAGGGTAAGGTGTGACAGTGGTGGGGGGCTTACTGTCTCCTGACCTACTGTTCAGCTATTTTCTCTTTGTACAGGAGATTTTGAGAGAGAAAAGGTTCACAGATGGTATTTAGTAACAGTAGCAGAAAGGATACTCAGCCCAGCTCCTAGGCCTGAGATATTGTTGGATCGATAGAGCACACAGCCTTGAGAAGTTATAGGGAAAGTAGTGGCCTCAGGGGAAAGCTGAATTTCAACAAAACCAGGAAGACAGGGAGTTGTCAGAGGAATGAGAATATTGGGTGTGTGTATATATATATATATATATATATATATATATTTTTTTTTTTTTTTTTAAATCACAAATCCAGTTCCAGAAGACTCTAGAAAAGAGTTTGGGAGGGAAATGAGGTGTAAGATATTGGGTTGGACCATGGAAAGCATAAAGCACTTGCTTTGAACTTCTGTGAGCTCCTGAGTTGACTTTATGACTCCTCCCTGGGCACTTCAATAGGACAGTTATAGATAGGGTTATAAGATGTATCTCTTTGGGGTCATCTTGGAATCATTAGGTACAATAATTAACATTTCCATCTCTCTGTCTCTGTGCATAACTAAATATAGATTGTTTTAAAAGAGAAAGTCATCTCATAATTTCTCTCAATAATGCACTCCATGATTTGACAATCCTTTAACAATCAGTACCAAGAACAGTGCCTGATACATAAGTACTCAACAATATAATACCTTCATATCTTCAGGTTCTGCATCTGTGGATTCAATCAATCCTAGATTGGAAATATTTTTTAAAAAAATGCATCTGTACTGAACATTACAGACTTTTTCATTGTTATTATTCCCTACATATACAGTATACCAATTATTTACATAGAATTTATGTTGTATAAGGTATTATAAATAGTCTAGAGATGTTGTGAACCATTCAGGAGGATGTGGGTAGGTTACTATGCCATTTTATATAAGGGACTTGAGCATCCATTGACCTTGATATCCACAGGGGGTTCTGGAACCAAATTCCCTTGGACACTGAGGGAAAATTGTACTATGACTAGAAATGATAAATAAAACTTCCCAAGCACAAATTTAATTCCATGCTTGCCAAGTAAAATTTACTGTGAATTTTTGTTCAGCGTGTGAATTTCAAGTATTTGAAGTGGAAGTGGGGAACAGAGTGTCTTTGGTTGTTGGTGACAATTTACTCTATAAAAGTTGCTTCACAACAAGCCTGGGGCTAAAACACTGAAAAGGTCAGACAGCAAAGCAAGTGGGGCACATTCTCTTGCACACACCACACACATGACCTTTAAGCAACACCACCACTCATTTGCCAAGGTAAAAATAAGGCAAGCATTATAAATACCATTGTGCAGTGTATTGTTACTGTTTCATATTTAGTTCAATTTTACATAAAGAAATTCTCCTCCTTCCGATGGAACAATTTAATAGAATATAGAGTAAAACCTCATTAACTCAGGTCACTTTAGTCCCAGCTTGGAATTGCACAAAAGGTCTTGGGACCAATCATCCAATGATGCAGACTGAGTTCCTAGGACTCCAGAACCTCTAGGACCGTGTCCTTGTACACACATCTCCAGGGCTGCTCCCTGGGCCTTCCACTACCAGGAACCACCCCTGCTCTAGGATTTCACACTGTCCCCCTTCAGCCTCTGACTGCAGCCTCTACTTCTCTTCACTTTTGCTACTTCTGCTCTGCATCAAGACCTTTGGGTCCTTAATCACATCATCCAGTCCCTTGGCCTCTTTCTTATAGCATTTCATGAAACCAGGCCAGTCTGGATGAAGAGTAGTTACTTCAGTCACTGTCTCAGCACCATCCATCCACCATCTGTCTATCCACCCCTTGTTCTGCTATCCATCCACATTTATTGAGCACTGGTGATGAGCCAATGCTATAATTCAACAATTTTTCAGGAAAGTGTAGATAATGAAGGAGCTGGTGAAATGTACCATCATGAATTTGTAAACTAATTAAAAGTTAAGATAAAAAAGCTTAAAGTGAAAATCTAAATGACTCAGATAAAAAAAACTTGTCTCCATTCATCTATATACATCTGAGTAGGTTCTCTTCATAAGTTTAAATGTTAGTTATTAATTAATTTATATACTCGCCAAAATACTAAGAACAATGGTAAAAAATGATCATCTTTATTGAATATTTATTACCTGCTGGGCATTACACTAAGTTCTTTACATATCACTCTTTCAATTGCTGCATGACCTTATGAAGTAGTTGCCATTTCCAGAGAAGGAATGTTATTTGCCTAGGGGCTGTTTACACTATTGCACTTGGTAGGTGGTGAAGCTGGAATTTGGATTTGGCTCTAATCTGACTACAGAATCTGCTTTTGTTTAATTTTAAAAAGCAATACAGATTTGTAGAAGATAAAATTAAACAGGTAATAGAGCTGGATTTCTTTTTCCACATGGAGAAACATACATCAAACAGGGAGACAGAAAATGGTCTTCTATCAACCTCCTGATCTACCTGCTGGAGGAGGAGCATAAGCTACTTAGTGTTTGGGGTTGGAGTGGGCATGCTAGGAACTTCACTCAGATTTTTCTGGGAGACTAAGTGGGAGGTCTGACCCTTCTTAGCATGAGCAACAGGGGGCAGGAAAATCTGGATAGTGGGTGTCTTAGAGTCCTCTTTGTGCTTACACAAACCAGATCAGCAGGTGGCCACCTTCCAGGGCTGTGGGAGCAGTCACAGGACCCCCTCCCAAGAGGCCTGCTCAGGAACTCCTACCCAAGGCTCTGGGCAATTTCCTGATTTTAGAGCTGGCTATGTACTGCTGTACTCTTGTCCTTTCAGAAGCTGCCCTTTACCAGGGAGGTTCCAGGGTATCTGTCCCCCTTTCCACCTTTGAACTCTTCACCTTGTATCCCTGG